ACTTCATATATATATATGTGTGTATGTGTGTGTGTATTATCCTCGTGGGAGAGAAAAGTCGTCTGATATTTCAATTTATTTTTTCATGATGATGTCCAATATCCGAAGGAAATGAAAATCATTTATTTGAATCCTTAATCATACTTGCACCGATCCATCTGTCCAACGTTTCGCCTATAATTTTCGCACACACATCCTCAGCTTTCGCTCCATATGCACGGTCGAAAATGGAAACCTTTTTTTACCTTTGTTTGTTGTAAATTCAATTTCAGCTTCATCATCGATTCGTCGATCGTGTGCAGCAGTGTTACGTAAAATTCGACACGCTTTGGAAGTAATCGCAGCATTTTGTTCAAAACAGCACAACTAGGTGTTAATTGGAAATGTCGCGTAGATATCTATCGTGAAGAGTTGATGTAAATGCCAAATAAATTTGCTTTGTTTCTCTGGCTTCGTTACATTGATGTAGATGTACGAGTACTGTGTGCAAAATGTTTTTTAAAAGTATTTAAATACAAAATGCAACTACTTTTTTGATTTGTTATTTCAAATGTAAAATACAAAATAGATTTCCCTTTTGTATTTCAAATGCTAAATGCAAAATACGTATTTTCAAAATACTTTTTTCAAAAAAATACTTTTTTGTAGTATCTATTTAATTTTCTACATTTACTTAAGTATTAATATTTTCCAAGAAAACCTTGCAGGCATCTTCTCATTGGAGTTTTTCTACACTAACAGTGGTTATCATTATATCACCAGCTCCAAATATTCACATTTTTCTGTTTGAAGTGATTGAGATATATAGTTTTTCTATATTTATGATATAGTTTCTTCAGTTCAGCAACAAATAATTCTTCTATATGTTTCCTTATTTGCCTTTGTTAACCCGTTTTAATTGGAAAAAAGACACTGATGTCAAAATAGTTTGTTTAACGTGAAAGATCAGAGCCGAAATAGGGTCGCAAATAATTGTATTGATGTAAAATCAACATCAATCATTTTATATCAAAATATTTATCACACTATTTTGTTTCTGATATGTTACACATTGTAATAAGAGAAAGAAACGGAATCCATAGTTTCTTTAGCTTTGGATTTATCTAATAAGTGAAGTTTTCCGAATCGTTTTCTAAGAATTTTGGATTATGGGCATTTATTAGCACACCACAACATCTTGTAGTTTTCCAGTTTTACACAGCTGAAGTATATCAATTAGATATTGTTTTGAGGGCTGTTTTGTCGTAATTCACAGAATTTCGTAGTTCCTTGCTAAAGGTACGATAAGCGGTGATTTAGCAGGAGCTGATATCAATTTGGAACTTCAAAATTCCATGGATCATGACGTTGAATCCGGAAAACATTATCGATTCAATATTTTAGATTATCTGTTTCCAAGGAGTTTAGAATTTTTTGGGCTCTCTTCAGTTAAAGAATTAGAAGGTATTCACGGAATGTCTTTGTTTTCTTTTTAAGCTTCTAATACCTTCAATAGCCAATGTGAGCAACTTTCATTCATCATTTTATATAATGATTAATCGGTGATACTAGCAAAACTTTTAACGGTAAAATGTATTTTGCATTTTACAGATAGAAAATACGTTTGGAATAGTATTTCAAATAAAATATCAAATAAATCACATCTCTGGTTTTAACAATTATAAAAAATTATGTACGTAATGTTGGTTTAGTGCATGTACATTCGAAACGTCGCAAATCAGAATTTGACTTAAGCACCAACACCAATTAATTATCAGCTCTTAACTGATCGTGTGCTTATGCACTAAAGCAACACTATAAGCAATAACCTCTGGTTCAATCACAAATTATGAATTATGTAAATGTTTTAGGAATTTATAAGAAGGATGTTTTTGTTTAGTTTTAATACCTTTAAATACTCTGGTGGTTTCAACTGACTATTAAGGACCAAAATTCGAATTCTTACAATATCACCAGGTTTGTAATAACTTCGATCAGTTTCAACAAAATATTTATTATTATTTGGAAATATCAATATGGGGCCCTGACTATGTGAAGTCTGTATGGTTTTATTCAGTTCGATTTGTAAGTGTAAACTTCCATAGTGGACATCTTTTGCCCGGTAACGTAATTTTGGAACAGTTATTTCAAAACAATCATGGGCTAAAATCAAAATATAAAAAAAATGGATCATAGCAAATGCAAAATGTCTTTTACATGTCTAAAATTTCTTTATAAATAGATATCTACCTACGTGTTCTGAGATTTAAAAACGTTACATTAATAATTGCGTCATTGAAAAATTACTTTTCATTGAAAATTTCTTAATTTGAGATATTTGAAATTAATACGGTGGTGGAATTCTACTATAAAATAAAAGAAAAACACTAAATCGTTCCAGCAGTTCATTGTTTAATTTGATTTTATCTGTTTAAATAAAAATAATGAATGAATTAACTTCGTGATATTACTGACCATTCTTCATACGTATATTCAATCACTTTGATAATGTTCAGTGTTAAACATATTCAGCTTTGGTATTACTATCATTATATTATGAATAAAATCGTAGAAAAAAGTGCGATACCATGAGCATTGATAAGATTTTTTTTGACCAAATGAAGATGCGCATCTAATTTTTTCAGGTCATGGACAGCGATTAAAAGTTAAAAAGTTACTGTTGTTATACGTACAATATCTAATAAAATTCTAATAGACTTATAAGTATTAAAATTATTATACACTTATAACAAGCGTTGTAAAATAAATAAAACTAAGTAAGTATGTGAGCATTCAAAATACGAAAAAGAACTTACCATTTTCAATAATATGTCTTTTAATAAAATGCTTTTCTCTTATTTTCAAGTCTACGGAAATTCTAAAGGGGGTAATAGCATCATAAACTGATAAACAAACAGTTTCATTTAATGTTGAAGTTATTGCTTTCGGATATATAAACAAAAATCCCGCTTCTTTTTGCTTATACAACATACTGAAAAGTAACGTTTTTTTTTTCATGCATCTTATCATTTAAAAATATTTACCTTTCGTCAATGGCGCAAACTAAAATGCTGATAACGAATGAAAGGTTGTTGAAATTCATTTTCGCGCGTGAAACTGGTCAATATCTTTCAATGACTGTCTTGTGATATGCTTACAGAAACCAAGTAATAATGATAATAATGTTATGATGGATTTCAATTAATTTTCCGTAATGAACTTTGACATATCCTTTTATCTGGCATTCGAGTTTGTTTATAATCTAGTTGATTACACATAGTTTCCAGTTTCTTGTGTTTTTAGTAATTAGATCTACGTGGTAAATGGGCTGCATAAGTGAAAAAGTTTTTACTCAAAACATCTCTGTACATTCAGTCATGTGGACAGACTACGATGAACCTTTTCAATATTTTGAATTTTTCTTACATAAAGATATGTGGGTTTTATTTGATACCACTTCACAATGGCTTTTATACCATAACCACGCGTCTTAGACACGCACGCATGAGCTGTATGGCCTGTCGTTTCGCACACTTTTTTAATAAACGTAGAATGTCGAAATTTGATGTTTGGTCCATGCACTTACGACCAAATCACAACTAAGTTATACATTTTTTTTCTAGATTTTACGTTTTCAGCTTGTACATTTTGCGAAAATTGAATTTTAAGTTTGGAGAATTGTTTTTTTTATCAATCTACTTCTAATTTTGTCTAAAAGCAAATACTAAGACCATTATTTTGAATGAATCAGACTTATTATAATTTTTTAATATNACATTAACTAAAGCAATAATTCTCTAATCTGGATTATAATCCTTATTACACAAAATCTTTTGACTGAATTTTTAATAAAATGAATTATTTGTTTTTCAGAAACTTTGCATATTTTGCAAATGGAAACCATAATCTTTCTTTTAAAAAATATGAAATATTTACTAACTGTAAATAAGTACCTATGCTATGAATATCTAATGGGAAGTAAGCTAAAGATATAGGTACCTATAAAAATCATTTGTAATATCTACTTCCCTTAGTGTAATAGCAATTACATTATTATAATTTTATTTTTCATACAACACACGTTCAATAAAACTAATATTAGAAAATAAAAATCCAATTGAATGATTCAACGAAATACTCGGCGTACCTATACATATTCCGACCGGACATTTTTATCAATAGTAAACTTATTACTGGTACTATTTGTAAGTATACCCATTCGAATTTTTGAATATTCATATTTTCTCTCAATTCGATATGTTTCGAGTACACCAAAGAAAGTTTTCTCTGTATTAAAAACTGATGCCAAGCGCGTGTGCGTGTTACTAATAAACTCATATAGGCAATGATGACATGCTTATTTGTTGTAATCTACAAAGTACCTAAGTATCATGTTTATTTCGTAATATCAAGGAGACAAATTACTCAGAGTTTCGCTTAAAGGGCAATAAACTAATTAACATAGCGATTGACATGAAAATACAATAAATTAGGAAACTCCTTTTGTATCTATAATTAATTGTAAGATAAGCATTATGTGTACACAATTTGCCATTATATTTTTGTGTGTGAATACAACATCTAAACATATTCAACAAGATACCAAGTGACTTTGAAGCTTTTAAATTTTTTTAGTATTGAATTACAGTAGAATCCGCTTATAATGAAATCGAAGGGAAATGACGAATACGTCATACGAAGCAGGCGTCATACAAAGCATAATCTTAAATAATAAACAACTCTCTATTTTAGTTAGTTAGTTATTTTAGTTATTTAGTTTAATAGAGAGAAAAACCACAAATTCTATATATTTATTAACAGAAAAAGAAAAAGAACGATGAATTGTAATATCAATATACATAAGGGTCAGAAAAATGAGCGAAAATGTTATTATTAAACATTTGGGTCACTATATCCGGAAATGATTTTTTGAGAACCAGTTATAATAAACGATATGTCATTTTAAACGGAGTCATTATATCCAAACTTTCCTACAGAGAATTTAATATGAAAAACAAATTTAACACTGCAATTACTTCATTTTAAGCGGTTGATCTATATAGGCGGAGTCATAATAAATGAATTCCACTGAAATTCAATATAACTTTAGTTCTTGTTAGCAAAACAGAGACAAAATAAGAACTATTATTGTATGAATAAAACAATATAGTAGTTTATCATATATCACACCCCTAATCAATTGGGTCAATCAAGTGTATCTGATAATCTTATACTAAAAAAAGTGTCTTAAAGATATGGTCAAACGTGTTCGTTGAATAAAATAGCGCTTTCAAAGTATTAACGATTAATTAATAAGAATGACTCCGATTTCTAATTAAAAAATACACAGCATGCATTCAAATTTCTGTTGTTTAGTATTTGTAACCCGTTAAATGAATAGATCCTAGTAATGTAAATTTTAGTTTACTTCTTGCTGAAGTCCTAATTTAGTACTTACTTGGCACATACAAGAAACCGATTGCTTTGGGAGTCCGAATAAATTTTCCTAGGATTTTCCAAGAAAACTTTAAATCGCGGTAAATTGTATTCTTTTACGGTGAACACTTTAGTGATATCATTCACTTCTATTTTCCACTTTCCCTAAAAGATATTTGCCTTGTTTGCCTTAAGTTGTTTATTAAACATAAGGCAAAACTTCCACAGGCTATTTCCCGCGTTATACTAACAATAAGAATAGTTTATCCTTTAATAAATAAGTTAATGCGAAAGCTGCTTTATTTCGAAGATACACGGCGGTAAATGTCTTTCACTAAAACCAATTTTGATATTTTCAAAATTTGTAATTTAGCCAAAACTAAAGTAATGTATATTCCACTGGCTTTACTGAATAAGTACAAAAAATTTTTGTTTTTATCTTTTTCTCATCTTTCGATTCCATTTTCTAATACTTATCTGAATTTGAAGTCGTTAGTTTGCATCACTGTAGTGAAAAATGTGGAAGATTTAAATATTGAATAATTGCGGGGTGTAATTCAATTTACGCAATAAAATGTTTATTCAATAAAAAAAGAGAAATATTATGAAGTGGTTTCACCAAAATTATTTATTATGCTCTACAACCGCTTCCATCTATACGATCATTATCAAGAGTATTTATTTGGTAATATTTCAATATTTATTAGTCGGACAGATCAAAACAATTTTCGGGCACAATAAATAATTTTGGTGAACTTACTCCATTATAGATATTCCTTTTTCTTCGTTTTTTTTTTTTTTTAATAAATATTGTTATAG